ATGATTTGAGTGCCACAACACAAACGACGGACGCCGTACGTTCCTTATCCGTACTAGTCGTTCCACATCATCCAATGGCTAATGTTCATCCAATAATTTGTCTCTCCATTATTTTAGAATCAATTTATAGCGTTAGCGTTTTCAGAATACAATCTAACGAAAATCGTAACGTTAACGTTTTTCAAAAATAATTTATATCATTAAAATTTTATCTCAAACGCTAGCGCTAATTGAAAACGTCCTTACAAGAGTCAATCCCAAATTTATTGTCTTACTTTAATTTTTTATTCATTTTGACTAGAAATTGTGAACAAATTGTATTTCATCTATTTACAATTAACTGACCATTATAACATTTGTGATATGTCAAAAATGGAATGAATTTGTACATGATGTACACCATTATTCATTTAACTTTTAATATTTCTCAAAAGTCATACTCCATTGTCCATATATGTTTATCACATTTCAAAAACGAGAAAAGTATTAAGTTTTTTAAATTCATTTTATTTAAATATTGGTATAGAAACAAAAAAATAAAATTTTCATATTTAAAGAAACTAAATGAAAAATTTTTGTAAATAAGATCAGAAGTGTCAAGAATAATTTATTTCATCAAATAATTAATAAAGATGTACCGTGATTATTGAAAAAGAAAATGTGGCAAACATTTTGGGACGGATGGAGTATTAGAGTATATAGACTTTAATGTGAATAGGAGTATTTAAAAAGTACTCCACATTTTTGATGTACTAAATTTTTAGATCATTATTTATTTATCACTTTTCATAATCTCCAATATAATACTTTGACCATTCATATATGTGTGTGTGTGAGAGAGAAAGATATTTAATTTATATGAAAATTTACTGTATTTTTTTCGTAATATATGGTCAAGTTTTAAAAAATTTGATCACAAAAATTAAATTGGAAAGTTATTTTAGGATGGAGAAAGTATTATATGCTACAAATTTAAAAAAAAAAGGCAAATGCAGTATTACACATGGAATTTAATCATAAAGCTTAAAAAAAGTGACTTGAAAATGTCTTTGTTTTGGTTCATGGCATAAAATTAAAGTTATTTTCAATTCAACACCATTAAAAATTAATGTTTTGAACAATTTTTAAGAATCTCTTAGAGAGTTAGAGCTAGAGATAACAACCAACGAGTGTGTTTTAGAGAGAAGTAATTTGCATTAAGCCATTAACGATTAGAGCCTTTAAACAACTTCAAAAAATATTTTAATTTTACCACTCAATTTGTCCCTAAATAATCTTCTAATTTTAACTTTAATCGGAGTCTAAAAAACATAAAACTGTGTGGTTGGAATTTAAGTTTAGAAACGAAGAAGAATGAATATGAACCATAAAATATATATATATTTTTGAAATAAAATGAAAATATCAATTAAAGACTTTCAAAAAAAGACAAGTATGCATATCACTTTCTATTAGTCCGAAATATGGGAATGTTAATGAAATAAGGTTTGACTTTATTATTCGGGTTGTTCCTAAAAATAAAACTGAAATTATACCTTAAAAGCATAAGAAAACACTCTAGGAGTTTGGCCAATTTCCAAAAAAAAAGTGGAAATTGTTCATTTCATAATACTCCGTATATATTAAGAGCTTTTTAGCCAATAATGCTTTTTTTAGAATTACAATATTTATATTAAAAAAAAAGTGAAAATAGATTCACAGCAAATCCTGTAAACAACCAAGCTCACTTTGTCAAAATGGGATGCCTACCAGTTTGTCAATATGACTAGACCTGACAAAAAATGATTTGACCTGTTTTTGACATGAAACCCGACCTGAAAATACTGAGTTTTAAACAAAGGTTTTGATGACCGAAGTCGAAGTTGATCGAACCCGAAATAACTTGCTAAAAATGGGTCAAACCCGACCGAACCCGAACCCGACCCGACCGACCCGCTAAAGTAAGAAATTTTCAAAATCGTACATTTTACTACTCATTTTTAGTGTATAAATTTATATTTTCAGACAAAATTTTAATGATAGTGCATAATTATCTTACTTTTTTCCAAAAATTAAACATTTTTTAAAATTCCTTATATTTATTTATATATCTAAAAATAACTTTAGAATTTAAAATAAAATAATCTAATAGATTGAATACTTTTTTTGATATTTTAAATTTATTAAATAGAAAATGTAAGTGTTAATGTGTATTTTAAAAATTTAAAAAAGCAAAGTCATAGCCCGTTGTGTCGACCCAAACTCGATGACACTAGATCATGAACATACAGTTCTCAACCCCAACCCGAACCCGAAATAACACGAACTCAAAGTGACCGAACCCAAACCCGACCTGACCGACCGATTTGCTAGCTCTAAATATGACAATGTTTGTTTAGCTTATTTGTAAGTGAAAAAAGGCACTAAGTTTGTGTGTTTGTATACAAAGTTATATATTGATTATAGATATGGCAATGGGTTAATCAGTTTGGTTCTAATTCGAATTTGATCTATTTGGGTTTATTTGGATATGTATATTACACTCTCTAACCATCTTTGATCATTTCGTTTTGATTTTATTCGAGTCCGAGTTTAACTCGATTCTTATTTTGTGTTAAATTTGAGTTCGATTCAATTTATTTCAGTTTTGGAACTTGAATTTTGGTTATAGATTAAGTATTTATTTTTTGGACCATTTTGAATTCTATCTTGGATTACTTAGGTTTGAATAAGGGTCTACTCGACAGGCAACAATTTTAGCGTTTAAATTTAGTATTTTTAAAGATTATCTAATAATGGTATTCTTAAAATAAATATTTACATTTAAAATTTTAAAAATTATCCACCAAACTAACACTAATCAATAACAAATTTGTAAATTTCGTATAATTTTTATTTGTGATTCACACATTCCTCTTTTTAAAACTCAATAGAAATAATTAGACAAAAATTAACCACGGGATCGATAAATTAGTAAAAATATACAAATTATTAAAGATACCCAAATTAAATCTTGTTAATACGAATAATTTAAAAACCCATTATTAATACAAAAAGAGCATTTATATTTCTCATTATTATACAATAGTACAGTGTACAGTTATAAATACGAATATTTGTACAGCGTACACATATTAATAAACCTCTTTATTTTATAGAACTGATAGTTGGATAGTATAGTGGTAGCTTTCGTTGCTCAATGATTTCATGCTTCTTTCTGCGTGCTCTATAGTTCATGTGTAACTCGAGCTAAGATCTTTTGAAAATTGCTTTTCTATTTTCGAGGAAAGGTAAGATCATTGTATACACAACCCTCCCGACTATACCTGATGGTGTAAATTACTTGACCGGTCAAACTATACTAGACCGGGTCTAGAATAGTTTACTTGATTTAGTAAAGTAAGAAAGGTAAAAATACGCAGAGTGACCGGGAGGACTTTAGGTGGAACACCTGTAGCCCAATTTATATTATAATAGAGAATGCACGGGTGCTTTTACAAGGGAGTTTAGAGAGAATGCATTCGGATCTCTACTTTTGAGAGTTACAGCCATATTTATACTAGGTTCGGGGGGACAGGACCACGTGCGCCCACGTGGGGGCACGCTGCTAGTGTGGTGCGATGTGACTGGTTTTGTCCTTGAGCTGCCCAGTCGCCTTGCGAGGGGAATTATTCCCTTTGTCAAGTAGTGCCTTGGATGGATTCCCTTCAAGTACTGTCCAAATCCTTTTAGATTCCCTTCTGACAACGTTTCCTAACCTCAGAAACTACACCGGGTAATTTATGAGGGATGAGTTTATCGAAATTAGGGAATGAACAGAGCGACAAAGTAGTTTGACCTGTATACTTTTTCTAAAGTATACCGGTCACCTTTCGATCAACTGAATGTCCTCCTGTTGATGATATTCAAGTTTAACCTCTTTGACCGGTCAACTATCTGGTTCTGTCGTTTGACCGGTCATGGGTGAAATACACCCATCAATACCTTTGTGAGATTTTACAAGACCGGCCTAAGGGTTGGCCAAGGTCCCCTACAGCCCTACTAGCCAAAGCTCGTGTTTAATATATACTGTGTATATTATACATTTTTAATAAAAAATTAAAAACATACTCCGTATTTTCTAAGGTCATCGAATCTTCAAGACTCGACCCTAAAATTCTTTTCGGTAGAGATTTATATGCGTGAAAATTCATATTAATCCATAATCTTTTGGACAATAAATAGTCTATATTCTTTATCGGGCCGGTTCTATGGCCACTGCTTTTCAGTGGCCACGGAAGTCACTCCTCCGATTTGCAAAATTGATGATTCATATCCCCTACCCCCTTCCCCCCCCCCCCCCCCCCCCCCCCCCCCCGTCCAATCCTGATCTCAACCCATCCTCCGCTGATGTCAGTTGCAACCTGCAGGTTTAATTGTGTTTAAAGTAAAAAAATTTGACTTTGTAAACAAAACTTGTATGGTGCAATTGATATGGGTGGAGGGATGGGTTAGCATCAGGACCGGTTGGGAGGTTTGCCGTGAGATTAAGAGTAAGAATTATCAATTTTACGAACGGAGCAATGAAGAGCGGCAAGTGACTTCTGTGGCCATTGAACCTAGCCAATTCTTTTTATTCCCATGTCATTACCAAAATCAAATGCTAAAAATAAACATGTGTACTCCGTACTTTACCAAACACCACCCGCCAACAATGCAGAAATGCAAGAGAAAATAATGATAAAAATGTCATAATCCATCCATCTCAAAATGATGTCCTTTTTTCAGTTCAAGATATTCAATTAAAATTGTTTTTAATCTACTAATATACGTAGTAGAAGTAGTAGTAGTAGTAGTAGTAATAATAATAATAATAATAATAATAATAATAATAATAATAATAATAATAATAATAATAATAATAATAATAATAATAATGAGTACTCTTTAAAATACTTCAAAATAAAAATAAACTTACCAATAATGAAGAAGAAGCTAAAACTTTGAGAAATTACTCAATTTGAGTAATAGTCTAAAATAAATTCAAGAAAACTTCTCCAGCAATTCTCTTTCTTCATTCATCACAATCATCACAGAGCATGAACAATTAAGAAGGAAGATTTCAAGAAATCTGCGATTTAACAGAAAAATAACAAAGAAGATTTTTTTTCCACCGGAAGTTGGGCCTCCGCCGTTGAACTCACCGGAGCTCCGCCGTCGGTTTCACAGCAAAAATCAGGAATCCAAGAAAACAACAAAACAATTCTCCTTCAATTCCAAACATTTCGGATCTTCTCTCCAAGAAAACTCACGAAACTCCTCACCGCCCCCCTCTCCTCGCCGCACCCATCACCGGCGCCGCCGCCGCCGGCACTCTCTTCCGCGGGATTCGCCGCGCCGGGATCCTCCCCTGACTCATTGTTACTGAAAGAACCACAAGAATCTCTGTTTCCGCCCTTCTTCTTCCCTCCCCTGTTTTTCTCATTCTTTCTCTGCAACCCATCTTCGTAAGCATCAATGGCCTGATGGATGAGGTGGCGGTTGGGGGAAGAATCCCACCGCGCCCAATAGCTCATGTAGCAGTTGAAGCAGTAGCAGCCGAAGAAGGGCGGGTGGTCGGCGCCGCCGCCGCAGGCGGCGTCGGGGGATTTCTTGTTGAAGTTCCCGGAAGGGCAGGAGAGGAGGTAAGCGAGGGCTTCCTGTTCATCTTTGGAGAGGGAGGCTGAGATGGCCAAGATTGCAGCTGGCAAGAAAGCTAGCTTGTCTGACAATGGCGGAGTGGGATGAACAGTTGGTTTTCTGTGGGGCTTTTTCATGGCTTTGGGAAGAAGAAGAAGGAGATGGTGACGGGTGAGGATATCAAGAAAATAAAAAAAAAGAATGGATTTTTAGGGTTTGAGAAGAGTTTGGGATAAGAATGTGAATTGGGAAGACATACTTAGGGGTTGATGATATGAAAAGGATGGAACACAATATTCAAAAGGTCCCACCCCAAAAGTTTACCTAGTGAGTATTTAAGAAACTACTTCCTCCCTTCCAAACTCCAAAATTACCCAAATTAAAAAGACTATTCACACATTAATTTTTTTCCTTTTTTCTTTATTAATTTGTTTTCATTAATTAATTACTTACTCCATCTGCTTCTAAATGTTTGTCACACTTATATTCCTGAGGTAAAATATCAAGCCTTTTCAATTTATTTTATTTACATATTGGTATAGGAAAAAAATAAAATTTACATATCAAAAAACTACATGAAAAGTTCTTCGAAATTAGAGGTGTTAAGAATATTTTATTTTATCAAATAACCAATGAAAACGTAAAAATAAATAAAAGTTCCCGAGACTCCTGAAAAAGAAAATAGAAATCATCCTAAATAGGACTAAAACATATATAAAAGTACCAAAATAAGACTTATGTTTTTTTCTCGAGATAGGACTTTGCACTGTAGTAATGTGACCTTGCATTGTGGTAATATAGCAGTGTACATGTGCAAATTACTATGTTTTTTTGGTAATGTATATAACCATGATTCGTAATGTAAGTCCTATTTCGTAAATAAAAACATGAAAATCCTATTTTGGTATATATTCAAAGTTTTAGTCCTACTTTGGTCTTTCTCCCAAAAGTAAATGTTGTAAATATTTTGGGACGAAGGGAGTATTAAAATAACATAGTCATATTACATTGTCATTATTTGTTTTATGCACAATTTAATTTAATTTTCAAATGTATAAATTTTATTCTAAAATTTTATACGATTATATATACCCTGTATTAAATAAATTGAATAAAAAATTAATTTTTCCGATCATCGTACTTTTTTTTGGAACTTTAGTTGTGAGAATAGTGTTTAAGAAACTAGAAGAGTAAATCAACCAGAAGATTTATTGATTAATCTATTTAATTGTATGATCAGTTCAATCGTTTTAAATACTGATTCATTTAGTGTGATTCAACATCGATAAGATATGTCTATATAATATTTTAATAATATACTCCCTCCGTTCTCAAAAATACTTTCTCTTCCATTTTTTCCATTTCCAACAAAACACTTCTCCTTTCTATTAAAGAACCACTTTTACCCTTACTTTTTCATACCCTACCTATCACATCATACTTTTTCTCTAATAATCTATCCATCACATCTTACTTTTACCCATCACATCAAGGGCAAAATTGGAAATCAACTACTATAATTTAACACTTCTTTATTTTTTCCCCCAAATCAAATGAGAAGGGTTTTTCCAAACGGAGGGAGTATAAAGAAAAAAATTGTTTAAAATACTTTAATTTGCAACCCAACCTCTAGGAAAATCTTTTATATTTTGACACTAAAATTGTAAATTTTATTTTTAAATTCTATACAAATTTTTAAATAAAATAAATTTATAAATATTTCATCTTACCTCATAATTGTCTCTTTAACTTTTATTTGGAGAAGGGAGTAATACATGAAGTGCATTGCAACTCCAAGCTTAATGAATTCATTACATTGCATCACACACTGTCACCGTCTGCATGAGTGGCTAAACTGGTCTTCAGGTAGTTTCAGGTAGTTGTTGAGTCTACGATTTGAGATAGCAATAGTAGTGTATGTGTTACATAAGAATTACACCAACATGGGATACCCAAGCCAACACAGACACACACAGACACAAAGTGTCTGTGTTGCACAAACATTTTGTGTATATGTGTGTCTGTGTTGGCTTAGTGTACACTTGGGGTACCCCATGTTAGCGTACCCCTAGCATTGCCCGTTACATAAATGTTGTGCCATCTTTTGTGCACTGTCCTTTCTCGAGAATTAAGTAAGAACAAGTCATAAATCTTTCTCCAGATAAACTTCTGGGAGGCAAACAAAAAATGTTCGTGAAATCTTTCTTTAGCCCTAATTCGCCCCACTCAGATAATTAAAATGAGCTAAAACATGGACAGCTCTATTAAACTGGAACCAATGATATTATATTAGCAAGAAATATCCGTCATAATTCTGACCAAGAAAAATCCTCAATCTATATGCTCCGCATTACACGAGTAAAGTTCATTCCGGTTCATTTTAAAACGAGGGTAATTTACCTAAATAGAACTAAAACATAATGACTTTCTTAATATAAGACCATATGTTTTTATTTCCTAATGTAGGACCATTGGTCATTATCTATTAGTCATTATTCAACTAAATGTCTAACATCACTTGGACATTATTTTTCTCACTAGTCATTATTAAGTCCTATTTAGGGAATAAAAAAGTTTAAGACCTACATTGGAAAATGAATTATATTTTAGTCTTATTCAGTACAAATTTCACTTAAAACGATCCAAATGAAAATTATGTGCGATACAATTTTTGGTTTATAGAACATTAGTAACTATAGAAATTACCCAAAATGAGAACAAAATATAACCTTTATACCAAAATATGAGTCATTTTTTAATTCTCAAAATAGAACTACTACATTATGATAATGCGTAACAATATATTGACATTCCACAATATTTTTTGATATTATATCCTGTCATAATAGTTCTTATCTTGAAGATAAAAACATTTAAAATTATATTTTGATTCTTTCTTTATGTTTTATTCCTATTTTTGTCTTTCCCCTTTCTACAATTGCATGATTTACACACACACATCTTAAGCTTATTACTACGGTATTATATATAGATATAAGTTGATCTATTTAATGCAAGTATGCAACCTTTTTTTTCATTCTTAGGTGGACCTAAGATCCGCATGAAAATAGATTGACCAATTTTGAGATCACTCATTTTCACAGACATACATAAACATGTAATGCCAAAACAGTTTTCAACTTAAGACCCCACATGGTACAAGAGAATTACCAGAAAATCTATTGCCAGTAGATTTGCCAATTTGAGCCATTCTCTATGAAGCCTTTTAACCAAACAGGTCTCAACTTAAGTTGCCCTAGTTTCAAATCTCCAAACAATAGAATATAATTCCTTAGACCAAACATATTCTTAGTTGATAATGGAAAGACATGCTGAAACTTTACCTCCTGTCTCACAAACACGGTATTCTATTTCATTTTGGTCTGTAAAAGCACTTCAATTCCATACATTGGGAAATTATGAGTTCAAGAAATTTACATCTGCAAAATGGTATTGTTAAATTTTAACTAGTAAATAGTAATTTAGCAAGTAGTTTTTTAATCCATCATCCAACCATGCTTGCTAAAATTTAACTAACAACTAGACTTTAAAATATAATGAATTCCCTTTTAGTAATTAAAAATGAATTAAAGTGAATTAATTCACTAACGGAGGAAGAAGAATGACTTTTTCATGTGCCTCTTCCTATTCCCGTTACTTTTTTGGATTTAAATTTATTTTTTTATTAATTTTCTTGGCTTGCTTTTATTTGGATGGCTTGCTAGGTTTGGCCAGACAAATTTATTTTTTGACAAGTATGTTAAAATATACCATATCCCTTGGAGATGGAAAAAAGAGATTCACTTGCTATTATATAACTTTTAACAAGTCATATTGATAAGGTTGGAGATGCTCTAAGGATGTCAACAGGGTACATTAAACCAACTCCAGTAGGAAAAAGATTAAATCATCTATGATAGAAAGTTGTCCCATTACATTCCAGAAAAATAGTCTCAATTAATCGGGGTAAAGAATTTGTGTTTCTACCTCTCAGTACACTATACAACTTAAAATTTCCCTTGATATGCTCGGGGGGGGGATAGTACCATGCCAAAGAGGATCAACATTTAGACTAACAATAATGGGTAAAGATTGGGGGAAAGATTATCACAAACCTTTGGGCTGGTTTGTTTTCGAGTCGGGATCATCTTCACCGTCCTGTGCATTCAAATCCAAACTCAATCCAAATGCGCTTTCGTTCAGATCTTGCTGTTCTGTGGCTTCCTGTTAACAATTCATTTATGATCCATTAAAACTCACTAAAGAATCTAACACATCTATTACAGTTTTTTTCCAGGATGGATTTACTGCTTATAATGGTTACATCTTTTGATTTGTAAAAGTGAAAGACAAATGCATATAATGATCTTTAGCAGTGGAAATGTGGAATGCATAGAGAAATAAACACAAAACTTTACAACGTTGTGGAGAATACAATGGATTTCAAGATTAGTACAGTGATCTAATGGTAAAGAATCACAGACACTAATCATCTGTATTATGCAAATGCATTGGTTGAAATCCACAAAGCAATTTTTTGATGGAAGAACTTGATGAAATTACCGTTGGATGTTTTTTTATGAAAGGTGGACAGTTGGATTTTGTCGACACCCTAAATCGATAAACATAGACTAGCAGAGATCGATCTTACAAAGAATTTGAAACTAGTGCAATTTTTTGGTACCGTTAAAGGGTGAAAATGATAGAGAAGAAAAACATACTGGACCCTAGTGCAGAATAACATAACACAGGTATGAAAAAGAAACACATTGTTTAGCTCAAACTAAAACCCACTCTTTTATCCTTTGCAATTCGCTTTTTCATTTCTGAAATTAAATCTTCGAAATGATAGATTGAACCATAAATGAGTGTGCATGTTTGTGGAGGGTTGGGAATGATAGCTTGAACCATCAATGAGTTTCTATGGCAAGGATGTAACTGATAGAACGCGCTTAGTTACCTGGCTTTCCTGCATTGGCACATCATTGATATCTGGGTTTTCTTCCAAACCATCAGCTCGAGTGGTTTTATTTGCATCCGTATCACTTTCAATCACGTTGGTTTCGTCCTCAGCAATTTCTATGGACTCACTCTTTTGTTCTTCGAGCACAGCAATCTTTGCCGGCCGTTCATCAAAACAGATAAGAGAACAAAAAAATTCATTACATCTAAGCAAAAGTGTAGCAATTTCTTTATTTACAAATTACAATGCTTCAACAGAGTAAATCAAAAAAGTTTATAAAATCTTAGACTGCTTTTGCAAAATTATTTTTAGCTGGTTGTACTCATTTATTAAGAAGTACCCACCACACATCCCCTAGCTGTCTTAACATAAACACAAGACTAAAGCACAACATGAGTGAGTGACCTTCAATCCTAAGTCCATAGCATATTCTGTATAAAGAAGAAAACAGGCACAGGAAGATACTATATACAAACAAATATAGTACTTTTATGGAATTGAATAGGCAAACTAATAATAAAAATCATTTGAAAATAACATTTGGTTATTGGCATTCAAATAATAAGACAGTAGGAGTGTGGAACCTAAGGATCATAACATATATTTTAAAACATTGATTCTAGCCAGTATCATTGCCGAGCAATATGCAGTAGAAACCAAATATTTGAATTGGTCTATTAGGAACCGACAAATTACGATTTGAGAAATAGGATCAAATCACATCTTTGCTGGACACGATTGGAAGGTAAAACAAAATTGTGTCCCAAAATTTGCATTGCATATCATGACCATATTATGATTTATGAATCACTCTAGCCTGCAAACCACTTAGTAATAAGTGTGCAATGAAATTGGGGCAGTATCAATAAAAATTGGCCCTTTTTAGAAGCTGGAATATTCAATCACACCATTGATTCTAATTTGTCATTTTTAAACAAGTGAATAATCAAATAATCAATCTCTCTACATTTGTCTCTAATATTTCCTCTTTAAATCTTGCTTGACAGGAGCTTTTGTTTAAATTCAGAACTCAATTATGTAACTAAATACTCCGTTCATCCCTCAAAACTTAACCATCTTTTTTTGCGGTTCATGTTGTTTCTATTGCCAAATAAGGACGATCATGTACAAAAGTTGATGGTAAGTTGGTAACTAAGATGCATGGCTTGGAAAGTTGATTTACGGGACAGGGTGAAAGTTGTATGAGTAGAGGATAGTATCTGTTAGTCGAGGTAGAGCTGTATGTGCAAATGAAGGATGTTAATGCCACAGTTAGGAGGTGTGAGAGGTTAGCAGTGGAGATGAGTATACGTAAAAGTAGGAAAAAGAAGAGCTGGGGTGACTAAGACAACATATAGGGTGTCTGCAAATGAATCAAGGCATGATATATATAAAAGTTTGGAGCTCTAGGAGTATGTTGTTATTAGAGTATGCACCAAAAAGTGATTATTTTCTTATTTTACATATCCAGTCAAACTTAACAAGGTTTTCTAGGACAATGGGAAGTACTTGATAAATACAAAGAAATCAGCTCACAATTTGACCAAGCCCAACCTTCAAAGTCTGCAACTAGAACTCACAAATTCTAAGTGATTTTCACTCGAGAGATATCAGACATTCATCCCATGACATCTTGGTTCTCCATAAGCTAACCACAACCTAAATCCCACCTAAATTGAACCACATTAGATCCTACTATCAAGATTATCCCCAATTCAGAACAAAATTTTGCCCAAAACCTAGACAAATTTTCAACAACATATGATGGATACCACGCAATAGGCAATAGCAAGAAAATTTCGCGTGCTCAAATTATGATCTCATGGAATTACCGGAATATACTTAAATCTCCGCTTTGGCGGCTCCTCATTAACGACGTCAGGTTTGGCAGACCCATCGGATGTGCCGTTCTCGTCGCCGGCGCCGCCGTTGGCGCTGGCGTTGTTCTGGCTTGGAGTGATCGGCGTCCACTTGAGAAGCGAGAGACGGGAGCCGTTGATTTCATTGACTTCGCTGGTAGGAGCCGATCGATGGTGGGCGTTGTTGCTGTTGTTGTTGCTGCCGGAGCTGGGCGGAATCACGCGGACCCACTTCTTCCTCCATTTGCGGACCCGACCGGTGAAAACAGTCGTCGGTCCGTACCGGGAAGAAATCCGGCCGAATCTGGCGCCCACTCCCTCCATTAACAGCGGCAGGTGAAGGCTTCCTGCTCCTTTGGATTTATCGTTTCTGCTCGCGTAAATAAAAATAAAAAGGTTAAACGGGTCATGTAAAATACTCCTTCCCTCCTTCAATAAGTAAAAGGTTAATTTGAAAATTTGTGTTTGACCATTAATTTCACAAAAATAATTTTCTAATTTCATTATCATGTACGGAGTATCTTTTACTCCCTATTATAATGTTGAAAAATGCTAGAGTACACCAAATAGTGTACCCCATTTGTCCCCTACCTTCTCCATAACCACAAAAAAAAGCAAGAGACTAAAAAAATTATATAAATAAAAATAAAATAAAATTGAGTGGTAGAGAGAGGGTGGGGGACAAATAGGGTACACCTTTGGTGTACCCATAGCATTGCTCTATAATGTTTGAGACTCAATTCCCAAAGCTTGACATATGTAGTATGAAAAATGTTAAGGGTACACCAAAGGTGTACCCCATTTGTTCCCCACCCATTCCATTACTACAAAAATGGGCAAAAATTTTAAAAAAAAAATTAAATAAATAAAAAGTAGATAAAAATAAATGGTGAAGAAGTGAGTGGGGGACAAATGGAGTACACATTTGGTGTACCCCTAGCATGGCTCATGTAGTATTCATGTGAAATTTTTTTGACACATCACTCTGTCATGTAATTAGACATGAAAACTAAAATGATGATTCCACATGTTATTAAGGGTAAAGTAATGAAATACTCCTTCCGTCCCTTTGTATTTGTCCATATTTGACTTTTAGAACTGTTCATCTAAGCACTTTAATCCATCAAATTCTCTCAATGTGCAAGCCTAAATATAGTCATGTGTGATCTTGTTTGATTTTTCTTAACATATCGATTATTAATATATACGGAGTAATTTCTATAATTTTTAATATACAAATTACAAGATAAAATTGATTAAAGAAATGTATTAGATAGTGTGTAAAAATGAAAGTAAACAAGTACAGGGGGACGTATGGAGTATTAACATAGTAACCTCTCGAGATAAAAAAAACTCAATTCATGTAGGCAATTCATCCTTAGTTACGCCTACGCAGCCTAGCATTCTCTCCTTCTTTCAGATTTTAATTACTCCATCCGTCCTAAAATGTTTTTCCCACTCACTTTTTACTCGGTCAAACTTTAATCACTTTCTTTACCTATTTTCATTAGGTATTTGATAAACTAATATAGTTTTGTCACCACTTGTTTTATACAACTTTTGATGTAGTTTTTAAATATATAAATTTCATTTTTTTAATTTTACACATAGAATCAAAAAAATTGAATTGAAAATAAAGTCGATCAAATCTCGTAAAATAAACCGTGAAAAAACATTATAGGACAGAAGGAGTACAATTTTTGATCAATTTCAATCATTAAGACACTCCATCTTCGTCATCTTCTTCTTACACATTTCTATGAAGTACTAAAATTTAGATTAATGTCATTAAATTACACATCTTTGCCAACTTTTTAATTCTTTTGAAAAAATATATAATGTTTTTTAGAGGATGTCTGAATTTCATATCGTGAATGAAAAGAGCACAAACTTAGTATGGTCGTATCTTTGATTAATTTTTTATTCAATTCCTAAAAACTAAATTTAAAGTTACCAATTTTATAATGATTTTTTGGGATGTCTAGAATAGTATTTACTTTTTTGAGATGTCCCAAAATAATTTCTTTTTAATTTCAAAAAATTATAAGAGGATATTTTTATAATATTTTGAAATTGTTATAGTCCAAAAAAGTATTTATTTTAATCATTCTTAAAGAACTTTATTCAAAAATTTAAATTTTTGGACATTCCAAAAAACTTTATCAGTGCACTTTATGGATACATTTCTCCTTGTCAATAAGAGCATTTTTGTATCTTTTTCTTTTTTCATTTCCCTGTTCTATTTTTCTTTTGTTTTCTTTCTTTATTCTATTTTTTCATTTTATTTTCTAGACGTACAAAAAATAATTTGTCTAGTTTGGAAAATATATAAACTGAAAGTTTTTTACTTTAGATAGATAAAGTATATGTTATTTTTTATTTGGTTTTTTTTGGTTTAAAAACAAGCCAATATGAATTTTAAAACACTACAAAAAAGAATTTTAAAAAATGATAACAGGCACTGATGTACATGTGAATTGAAAAATAGGCGTCAATGCTCTTCCTTCTAACGCAAAAATAAACAGAAAATAGACATTTTTAAAATAATTTCTGAAAACAAAAGGTGTACTCATGCCTATTTTTCATAAAGAAATTATTAATGACTATCAGCACCTGAAGTGGATACATAGTTTTATGCAATTTAAATGATACACGATGCACATATATTATGATAATTTATATTCCCTCCATTGCATAAAATCTTTCCTTTTTCGTTTTTTTCCAATTCTCTAAAACATTTTCACTATTAAAAAATTACTTTTACCCTTACTTTTTCATATCCTACCTATCACATCATATTTTTTACTAATAACCAAACTATCACATCAGGGGTAAAATTGGAAAATCAACCAAAATTACAATTTCCTTATTTGGTCCAAAGTCAAAATGAGAATGATTTTAAGAAACGGAGGGAGTAATTAGTAATTTTTTCAAAATAAAATCTACATTGTTTCAAAATAAACACTATGTTATTTCTGAATAAAAATATTATACTGAGTCGATTTGAAATGAGTATTACGTTGTTTCAAAATAAACATTACGTTGATTCAAAATGAACTTTTGATGAATGTAACTAGTTCTAGGTACACCGAGATATACAATATAAACTTTTTTAATTTTATCATTCTGTGTTAATTGAAAACTACTACTCGATGATAATTTTTAGTTTAACATTTTCAAAATCAATTTAAACTATAAAAATTTAGTACAAAAAGTAATTACAAACGTTATTTTCAGATGAAACCTGAATTAACGACGATAACAATCGTTGGACCACAAAGTTTTGGACTAATGATATACCGAGTAAGAGTAATGGACCAGTGCCATTGTCCGACTAATCAAGCCCAATATATAAATCAACAGCTCGGCCCATTTCGTCTCTCGACTCGAACGAAAGAAGAAACCCTAACAGCTTGTTATAGTCACAAGCAGCTCATAAGCCATCGCCTCCATCTCCATCGCCATCTTCAATTTTCGCCACCGGAAGAAGCTTTCTGCAGATCGGCAACAATGGCCCCTAAGAAAACCCCGCGCAATCCGGAGCTTATCAGGGGAATCGGGAAATTCTCACGCTCCAAAATGTACCACAAGAGGGGCCTCTGGGCTATCAAGGCCAAGAACGGCGGCGTCTTCCCACGCCACGAGAAGAAGCCCGTCGTGGAGGCGGCGCCGGAGAAGCCCCCGAAGTTCTACCCCGCCGACGATGTGAAGAAGCCGTTCCCGAACCGACGCAAGCCGAAGCCCACGAAGCTCAGGTCGAGTATCACTCCGGGGACTGTTCTGATCATCCTCGCCGGGAGATTCAAGGGGAAGAGAGTCGTGTTCCTGAAGCAGCTCTCTTCCGGGCTGCTCCTTGTCACCGGTCCGCTCAAGATCAACGGCGTTCCCATTCGGCGCGTGAATCAGGCGTATGTGATTGGGACTTCTACAAAGGTGGACATTTCTGGGGTCAATGTGGACAAGATTGATGACAAATACTTTGCTAAGAAGGCCGAGAAGAAGAAGAAGAAGAAGACCGAAGAAGAGTTCTTCGAGTCTGAGAAAGAGGTTAGAACGGCTTTACTTTCTTCCATTTGAGGCATTTTACTGCAAATATTTTTGAAGGTTAAACAAATTTAGCCTGTAATACGTTGTAATATGATTACTTGTTATGCAGGTATGTTATTTGGGTCTATTATGATGTTTATGTTGATTAAAAGTTAAATGAATGTGTACCCATATCATGTCTGCATTCATTTTATTCTTTCTGTATATATATATTGTCATAGTAGATGTTTTATTTAAGAACGTAGAGAATTATTCAATAGATTGGACTTAAAATGGACTTAACAAATGACAATATTTTCATATTGTGTTACAACTATTCTACGAAATGAATCTTTTCATATTGTGTTACAACTATTCATATTGTAATGCTCCTTGCACTTTTTTTTGAAAAAGGGTAATGATTTAGCTGTCTTATTCACTTTGTTAAAAAACTCTTAATTACCTTTCTTTTTTTGTTAGTTTTATCAACTATTTACTTGATCATCTGCCATATGTTTGGTTCATGGAAAGGAAAAGGAAATGATTTATCTCCTTTTTCCCAACCAAAATAGAAGGAATTAAGTTTTCCTTATTCTTAGCTTATATTTTCTTTGCATTTTCTTTTCCTTCTATTTTGCTTTTCTTTTTCCTCTCCAACCGAATTTCAAGAATCATTTTTCATCTCATTTTCTTTTCTTTTCCCTCTTAAATTCCTTGAACCACACAGTGTTAGGGACGGAGTTGGGAAAGACAATTTAGGGATATAGAGAGCACCTAGCGTGAGAAGTTTTGCAAAATGTTAGTAGATCAAACAACCACTCTACTTCTAAATAAGAGTGCATACAGGCATCATCTTCCACAAACACTACTTGTCCAGTGAGGTTTTACCGGCAACCCATCCGGTGTTCATTCACTCAATCAAAACTCATCATTTTCTAGTAAGTTTGTTTCTCAAGCACGGCTTCAGACAACCTTTACAGGCGAAATGTGCTTTCTCAGTCACCAATCATTAAGTTCTCTTGTTTCAGCAAATAGCTCTTATTATTGTCCAGTATTTTCTTGTTGGTTTTTGTGTTTGCGCAAGGTGCGTGTTTGAAACAGCCTCTCTGCTTCCGAATAGAGACAAATACACAACCCTTTAGTCCTTACTTTTCTGGGTTTTACTGGCTTTGTTGTATTATGTTGTTGATCAGTTGTGACCTGAAGTGTTAAGTATGATTGTGGTTGTGAATGCACAGGAGAAGAAAGGGCTCCCGCAGGAGAAGAAAGATGACCAGAAGGAGGTGGACAGTGCATTGATCAAAGCCATTGAAGCAGTGCCAGATTTGAAGACTTATTTGGCGGCACGGTTCTCTCTCAAGGATGGCATGAAGCCTCACCTGCTCGTCTTTTAAAGTGCGGTTTCATTTTGAACCTGGTTTTGTTTTAGTTCTGTTTCTTGACTTTCTTCCTTGTGTTCCTTCTACCGGATCATTTATAATCTGTGCCCGTGACACAGATTCCTTGATTTTGAAAAAAATGCGAAATGAGATTGACAATATTTACTCCCTTGTTATTTTCATTTGACCATTGCATGAGCTTTTTGCTGTGTTGATTAATTGAGCCAATTTGGTGCTGTCCTAAGCTTAGTCTTTGGAACCATGGGTCCCAGTGTCCCCCATACTTGACTCGGGGTTATGCTACCGTAACACCACGGATAACACCAAGGTTAACCTTATTGTTGTTTCGGTGACAACAATGTGGTTAACTATCATTACTCCATGACGTTTTGTTTTCCTGCACATAAATAAATAGTTTGAAAAATCGAGTCCAAGTGCAGCGGTAATTCGTTTGGGTTGTAGCCTGTCAAGTAGTATTGTTTATCATTAAGGGGGCCTGTTTGGTTGTAATGTGAATTGTTTTTGGTCTGTTTTAGGAAGGGTAATCCCCTGGCATCTTTCATGTCATCTTGTTCGAGTTAACCCAAAAGGCAACCAATACAAAAAGGTAATAAATGATTAAAAAAATTAGAAAAATGTAATTTGTGTGTGCATTTTATTTTGCATAAAAATGTAATAAAATATTGAAATATTTTCTCTGCATTTTATGGAGTAGTTAACTTTTAGACATATATAACAATAATATAAATAAAACAAAAATATTCAAATATGTACGAACTGTTTTTTTAAAAGATAGTAAGATAACAACCAAATAAAATACCACAAAATAAGGTTTGGAAAGAATGTACGTGCTATATACCTTATTTTTAATTGAAAATATAGAGTTTGTTTCTAAGAAATCTGAGCTCAACACAAAAAGTACAAAGTGAACTAATGATAATGAAACATCATTAAGGGAGAAATGAGAAAAATAATTTTTTAGCGATCAACAACAGAATAATAAAAGAAAATTACGTGACCTCTAGTTTCATTGATCATTATTTGATCTAATGTTTAAATATATACGGAGTACATAATTTTTATTTTAAAGTTCCGCATCAATTTTTCAACAAATCTTTGGGCAAATTTTCCAATCCAAAGCCCCACATTTTTCATCTAACCAAACTAACTTCATTAAATAATGTATACACACACACACACACACTAAAAGCACACTTCAATCCAAACTGGCAAACAAACACTCTTGACAACCTACGCACGTACGTTATGTACTAAAAAAAACTGCTGCAGTTGGGACTTCTATAAATAAATACTTTCATATTTAGGTTTTCCATTTTTTTCTATACGTCTCCTAATAAAGTTTTTATTAATGGGAGGAGGGTGGTGGCGGAGAGGGGTGGAAGCCGATAGATGAAGAAGCGGCGGATGGGGAGCATGGTGGCGGCACTTCTTGCGGTGGCGGCGATAATGGGAGGAGGGCGGTGGTGGAGAGGGGTGGAAGCGGAGGAACACCGCCATGTGGTGGGAGGGGACAGAGGATGGGAAGTGTCAAATGACATCGCTTCCTGGTCTTCCGGCAGAACCTTCACCGCCGGCGACTCTCTATGTAAAGGCTCCTCCCCTTATAAAGTCATTTTCATGTGTTTATATCACTGCTCAATGAATTTACAATGTAAATATATGTAAATATTGGGGCAGTGATGCAAACACATAAAAATACTTGGAACATTGGTGTCATTTATTAAATATCAGAGTATTTACGTAAAATCACGCAATTATAAGAGTAATGGTGTGAATTTTTCCATGTTTTTATGGCCAACATTACTATTGAATAGGGATCACATACTCTGCGGCACAAGAGAATGTCGTGGAGCTCGGGAGCAGGGAAGAATACATATCGTGCGATCTGAGTAACCCGATCAAGATGTACACCGACGGCCTAGACCAGATCCCTCTAGAGGGAGAGGGGACCCGATACTTTGCGAGTGGAAAACCCGAGAGCTGCAAAAATGGCCTCAAGTTTCCGGTCATCGTCCTACCCCAGTACACACGCAAAAGGGGCCCGTCGTTGGTCCTCCGAGCGGATGGTCCCACGGCGCCTTCTTCATCCACGCGGTTGAACGAACACATGCCGTGTTTGTTCACCACCCTTTTGGCTTTGGTCATGTTTTTCTAGTAGTGATTTCTCATTTATTTCATGTCTACATTTCAATAAGAATCACACTGAGTGAATGTGTTCTCATATCAGCAAAAAAAAAAGTTTGAACTTATATATATATATATATATATATATATATATATATATATATACTCGTATAATTGCGTGATTTTACGTAAAAAAAGAAGAGAATTTCGGACCGACGATGATATATGGTACCATTCTTTGCAAGCAAACTTAGAAAAGTTATAAACATGTCTTATTAGTGGGAACTCTACCCAGAATTTCCCATAACATGATTCGCCGCCTTCTTCATTATCTCCTGCATGCTCAAATGAGATGTTATGTGGGCTGTCAATTGAGAGAGCAAACTCTTCCATGATTAGCCATCGCCAGAGCACATAGGGAAGAAGAAGAAGATTAAGATTAAGATGAATATTCCACATTCTTGTTTAAATAAAAAATACTTTAAATAAAAAAAGCACATTACTTTCAACTACTTTTTTCATCTATTAGTCTTCCCCATTCTTGTTTTGCAAAATACGTACTCCATCCGTTCCACAAAACTCATTCTCTTTCGTTTTTTTTGCTTTCCACAAAACACTTCCACTTTCTATTAAAAAAACACTTTTACCCCTATTTTTTCATACCCTACCTATCACATTATACTTTTTCACTAATAACCAAACTATCACATCTTACTTTTTCCCATCACATCAGGGGCAAAATTGGAAAGTCAACCAAAATTACACTTTCCTTATTTTTCTCCAAAGTTAAAACCAGAAGGGTTTTCTGGAACGGAGGGAGTAGTATTTAACAAACAACATATATTATATATATAGAAAAAGATAAGAAATCGATCCGGCTTTGATAATAGCTACTAAAAGTGGAAAAAACATAAACATTTAGCCATAAAAATTATTACCCCTAGTTTAAGCACCATGTGCAAAATTCAAATGAATCTCAGCAAATTTAATTTGTAAGCAAATTGGCACACACACATTTCTTATAAATATATAACACATAGGTGAAATAAGATACAATATAATCAAAGACTTGAGAAATGAACATAATGGGTGGTTTATTTCGTCGTGGCTTTGGCGCCAACCCTCAAGCTTTTACCAGCATCCTAATTGTTCTAACAATTCTGACTAGTCTCTTAGCTGGTATTTATGCACATTACATTGTCATCTACTACTTTCGTCCCTAAATATTTGTATGACTTTTACTTTTTCAAGCCTATTATTTTAAAAATTTTGACCTTGAATTAAATAAATATTTTATAGTATTTTAATTTGATAAAAAATATTCTAAAAGTATTATACTTCTCCGTCCCCCATAGATCTTCTCAATAACCCTTTTTCTTTATCCACAATAGATCTTCTCATTTCATTTTTTAACAATTAAAATACCATAACTACCCGCATTTACTTTATTTATTACACCTCACCCACCTTATTTAATACACTCCACCCATATCTAATATATATATATATATATATATATATATATATATATATATAATTATATATAATTATATATATATATATATACACACACACACACACTCCTTATATATATAGACACACACACGCACACACGTACATTGAACCTAGTATGATTATAAATACATTAACCATACGAAGTATATACATTAAAATAACAATAATATAATTATATTTCACTAGTGCTATTTATGGAAAATTATTTTGTTTTAGTGCTATTTAAATAAATTCCCCTTGTATAATTCCTTGTCAAAATTAGCTTCATATTTGATGACTTTTTTTTGTTTACTTTGACCACAAATGGTATGCATTGTATGAACATAATTCAATATAATTTCATTCATTTTAAAGTGTAATTTTGTTATATATCAAATTTTATAACATCTTGATGGAGTTTCCACATTAAAAAATAAAGAAGAATACCACTAGCATATAAAGAAATGTGAAACCTTACTTAGTAGCTTAAACTTTTGGATTAGAAATTTAGAATAGTGTATCCCGACTTTATATGCAAGCAATTAATTACCTGATGCTCTACTTGTTCTCGGCCGCCAAAATTTTAACACATCTATTTGTATATAACTATTTAATTTGTGATCAAAGAATTGCACGTAAGCCATACCTAATTAATATCCATTTTTGTTTTTGTATATTGTAGTAAGTTCGAGTCTGCAGAATCTTCTGGGTCCAAATCCACCTCTTTGCACTGGCGTAGATTGCGTGACAACTGATCAATGTGCTAACTACCCATGCGTGGTGGGTTACCACGGACTCTGTCTACATATGGACCATGCTCCGTTTGGTGAATGCTGCTTGTAGAAAGATTATTTTCATTGAAAGAATATGTGGGAGTACATGTGTTTATATAGACATGAGATTCCTATTTCTATACACAGTAGGAGTCAATAATAGGAAAGAATATATTTACATTAAATATAGAATATATTTAACATGCTCCCGGCTACGTCGGGTGTGGAGGTGGTCTGATACCCAGACTAGACTTGAACTCGAGGAAGAGCAAAGAAGGCAGTCCCTTGGTGAAGATGTCGGCATACTAGGAGGAGGAAGGCACATGAAGAACTCTTATGTGGCCGAGTGCGACTTTATCTCGCACGAAGTGGATGTCGACCTCAACGTGCTTGGTGCGCTGGTGCTGAACCGGATTTGATGAGAGGTAGACGGCACTGACATTATCACAGAAGACAAGGGTGGCACGCCGTAGGGGTTGCCGGAGCTCTAGGAGTAGATTCCGAATCCAGGATGTCTCTGCAACAGCATTGGCCACAGCCCGATATTCTGCCTCTGCACTGGACCGTGACGTGGTAGCCTGACGTTTGGATGACCATGAGATTAGGTTGTCACCCAGAAAAATACAGTACCCGGAAGTAGAACGTCGGGTGTCAGGACATCCAGCCCAATCAGCGTCAGAGTACGCCTGAAGATAGTCAGTCATGGAGCGGGTCAAGTAGATGCCGTGGGTGGCGGTGCCGCTGAGGTAACGGAGGAC